AATGGAAGCAAGTCGACGAAGAACTCTGTAGGGTAAGGCAGGTCCTAGTCAATAACGGCTTCTCCAATGGTTTCGTCGAAGACATCATAAGAAGGAAAGTGAAAAGCCATGCAACCTCTGAAGAGACAACTAACACAACACCTATACCCCCTATTAGACTATTTTACAGGAACTTCTTTTCCACAGCTCATAAAACGGAGGAAAGGGTCCTGAAAGATATTGTTAATAGAAACGTTATCCCTACAGACAAAAATCAGCGGATACAACTGACGATTTACTATAAAACCAGAAAAACGGCCAGCCTACTCATGAGAAACTCTCCAGACACAAAACAGAACGCTTTAAAAGAGACTAACGTCGTCTATGCCTTCAAATGCCCACTTGGGGACTGTAAGCTCCAAAAAACCCAGTATATAGGCAAGACAACAACATCTCTTTCTAGGCGTTTAACGATGCATAAGCAACAGGGCTCCATTAAGGAACATATAATCTCTTCCCACAACCAAACCATCGCCAGAGAAATCCTAGTAAACAACACAGAAATCATCGATAGATACAGCGATAGCAGGCGGCTTGACGTTTACGAGGCACTACACATCAAGAAGTCAACACCAGCAATCAACAGCCAATTATTGCACAACTATATTCTACCCACCTCAAGACTCCGCTCCAATATAGAAGCATCAAGAAATATGGACCAATAGGCTTTCTACAAACACTTCTATTCAATATCCATTGTTTCGTGTTCTGTCTTGTGTTGATGAAATTAATACCCTATTAATACTCTTGTTCTGTCTTGTGTTGATGAAATTAATACCCTATTAATACCACACTTTGTTCTGTCTTGTGTTAATGCCACATCACCCCTTCCACCTCACTCAAATGTAGATATAAAATCGGAGATACGTAAGTTCTATTCAGTTGAGTATTTGTGAACTAAAGTCTTTGAAAATGTAATAAGTTTTACGAAACGCGCCCGTGTCGCGTCAGACTAGAAATAAAAATGAATTTTGGAGAATTGATTTTTGATTTACCTCCAACAGTGAAGCGTAATGTACGAAAGATTGAGAAAATTCGTGTTAGAATTATTAATCTTACTTTTTCGGTCATATTTAATAATATATATATATATATATATATATATATATATATATATATATATATATATATATATATATATATATATACATATAATCACTGGGATTCGTGATCCTAAATTTGTGGAAGGAGCTGGTCAGTGGGACACTCTTGCTAATTCACACACTCGACCAACTTTTCCAAACGACGGTAAACAGGCCTAATGGGATAGCCCCATAGTGGAAAACATCGCCAAAGCATTGCTGGAGGCAGCTTCGGAGAAGAACAGAGCGCGTCTCCTAGCTGTGCAAGCGCCCCATGCCGGGGACTTCCTGTTGGCAGTCCCTAATTCCTCCCTGGGCACCCGCCTGGACCATCGGGCCCTAAGTATTGGTGTTGCCCTGCGCCTTGCCGCCACCGAACGCCGGTGTATTTGCGGCCATGCACGGGCAGACCAATACGGCAGCCATGGTCTCATCTGTCGTAAGACACAGGGAAAGATTGCCAGACATGAAGCAGTCAATGACATCATCAAGAGAAGATTGGCTTCAGCTGGGTGTCCAGCACAAAGGGAACCTCAGTTGTGCAGACCTGACAACAGCCAAAAACGCCTAGATGGAGTCACCCTGCAGCCATGGAGGGAAGGTAAACAGGTCGTGTGGGATTACACATGTGCTTCCACATTGGCTGATACCTATCTATGTTACAGCTCAGCAGAGGGAGGTGGGGAAGCCACCTTCAGGGAGACCCAGAAAATCAACAAGTACAGAGACTTAGAACATTGTTACAGGTTCGTGCCGATAGGCTCTGAGACTCTGGGTGCCTGGGGTAAATGTGCACTTAAGTTCCTAAAGGAGGTGGGTGAGGAACTCATTGGGAAAACTAGAGATCCACGAGCGGGCAGTTTCCTGTTCCAGCGCCTCAGTGTCGCAGTTCAGAGGGGAAATACGTGTTGTATCCTGGGTACGCACCCAACCTCCGAGGAGCTGGACGAGGTCTTAGAACGCTGATTGTTCAGCCAAAAGTGACGTTCTTTTTAAGAGGACGGGTTGGATTGTTATATATATATATATATATATTATATATATATATATATATATATATATATATATATATATATATATATATATATATATATATATATATATATATATATATATATATATATATGTGTGTGTGTATTCTGTGTATTCTCTGTAAATGTAGCATTGCATTAAAATAAAACAAAATAAAATAAAACAAAACATACAAAAAAATAATAGGGGTGGTAGGAGAAGAAAAAATTAAAGTGTTCAGTAAAAATCCATAAGATCTTCTCTGAAAGCTCTTTGTTTTCTTCTTCGAGGATTGACTGCTGAAGACTGCTGCTACCAAAATATACTAATTCATAACAGACTGCTGCTGCTATGAAAGACTGCTACCAAAATATACTAATATATATATATATATATATATATATATATATATATATATATATATATATATATATATATATATATATATATATATATATATATATATATATATATATATATATATGTCGTACCTAGTAGCCAGAACGCACTTCTATGCCTACTATGCAAGGCCCAATTTGCCTAATAAGCCAAGTTTTCATGAATTAGTTATTTTTCGACTACCTAACCTACCTAACCTAACCTAACCTAACTTTTTCGGCTACCTAACCTAACCTAACCTATAAAGATAGGTTAGGTTAGGTTAGGTAGGGTTGGTTAGGTTCGGTCATATATCTACGTTAATTTTAACTCCAATAAAAAAAATAGACCTCATACGTAATGAAATGGGTAGCTTTATCATTTGATAAGAAAAAAATTAGAGAAAATATATTAATTCAGGAAAACTTGGCTTATTAGGCAAATCGGGCCTTGAATAGTAGGCTGAGAAGTGCGTTCTGGCTACTAGGTACGACATATATATATATATATATATATATATATATATATATATATATATATATATATATATATATATATATATATATATATATATATATGTCGTACCTAGTAGCCAGAACTCACTTCTCAGCCTACTATGCAAGGCCCGATTTGCCTAAAAAGCCAAGTTTTCCTGAACTAATATATTTTCTCAATTTTTTTTCTTATGAAATGATAAACCTACCCATTTCATTATGTATGAGGTCAATTTTTTTTTACTGGAGTTAAAATTAACGTAGATATATGACCGAACCTAACCAAACCTAACCTATCTTTATAGGTTAGGTTGGGTTAGGTAGCCGAAAAAGTTAGGTTAAGTTAGGTTAGGTAGGTTAGGTAGTCGAAAAACAATTAATTCATGAAAACATGGCTTATTAAGCAAATCGGGCCTTGCATAGTAGGCTGAGAAGTGAGTTCTGGCTACTAGGTACGACATATATATATATATATATATATATATATATATATATATATATATATATATATATATATATATATATATATATGTGTGTGTGTGTGTGTGTATATCACGAAAATAAACACGTGATTAAGAATGTGACAATGTCAGACCACGGAGGAAAATGAAACAGGAATTTCCTTAAGTACTTTCGTATATTAAATACATCTTCAGAAGGAATGAAGGAATACATCTTCATTCCTTCTGAAGATGTATTTAATATACGAAAGTACTTAAGGAAATTCCTGTTTCATTTTCCTCCGTGGTCTGACATTGTCATACATATATATATATATATATATATATATATATATATATATATATATATATATATATATATATATATATATATATATATATATATATATATATATATATATTAGTATATTTTGGTAGCATTCTTTCCTGTAGACATATATTATTAAATATGACCGAAAAAGTAAGATTAATAATTCTAACACGAATTTTCTCGATCTTTCTTATGTTTCTTTTCACTGTTGATGGTAATTGAAAAATCAATTCTCCAAAATTCATTTTTATTTCTAGTCTGACGCGACACTTGAGCGCGTTTCGTAAAACTTATTACATTTTCAAAGACTTTAGTTTACACTCACGCAACTGAACTATAACTGAATAGAGCTTAAACATCTTCGATTTTTTATACCTGCATTTGGGTGAGGTGATATGTTACAACAGTTTTGGATGAGGTGAAAACAAACTTTCAACACAAGACAGAACTCGAAATAATGGGTATTGAAGGTAAGAATGGAAGTAATTGCAGAGGGCCTATTGGCCCATATTTCTTGATGCTTCTATATTGGAGCGGGTTCTATCCCACTTCAAGACTCCTCTCCAATATAGAAGCGTCAACGCCCTAAAGTTGACGCCCTAACAAGGGCGTCAACTTTATCATGTTCCTGGAGGCCAGTGTGAGAGGAAGCCTACAACACTATGATTGTAGCCCCATATTATATATATATGCATATCTATGTCTGGCTTCGAAGACAAGCCCGTTATTAGTTTACGGTAAACTATTTAATACTAGTAGGGAGTAAAGTGAGTCCGAAATAATCAAACGAGCTTCTTCAATGTTTTCAATATTTGACAACGACTTGCAAGATGGATGCCCAGGTACTGACTGGTATTCTTCTGGGTTGTGGTACCATGGGGCTGGTGAACAATAACAGCACTTCCTGCCCTCCAGATACCTGAATTGAGCGATCCGTCAGTGTATATGGTCTGTATGATGTTGTTTTTGTTTGTTGACTGTGTATATGTTCTGGGAATCAAGGATACAAGCTGAGCATGAGGGTTGTTTCTGATTACTTTCTTAAAAATGTGATAATACTGGAATCTCTATATATGTACCTACTAGGTTTCGCTGAAGATGAGCATAAAACAAATCCAGTGAGTAAAAAGCAACTACACCACATTCAAGGGAAAAATGCATTTTCTTCCGACGTAAATGGGGAAACTTTAATTAAATGCGATGACTATATATTTGTGGTTGCTGGGAAGAAAACGGGAAGCTCAGGAGGGCTGTGCCTGTGAGTGAACACTGCTCAGTCAACCTCCAGCCGTCGTAGGGGAAGGTTCGCGCTTTCTGCTAATCCGTCTCGACTGCTTGTAAGTTTTAATTATTTTATTGTTTAAACTCCTAAAATTTAGGTCGGTGATTTATTTACCCTGAAGAATGTGACATTAATTATAGCTATTTTAGTTTTTAAATATTGATCATTATCAATATTTAAAGTGGTCATTACAACCGATCGAGTGGTCGGGTTGTTCCCATAACATCATTCTTGCAATGTTTTTCAAACCTCTGTGACATTACACAGTGAGAAATGTGGCTATGGTCACCTGAACACTTGTTGTTTACCAGTATTGAAAGACATGGGTGTTGCCCGCTCATTCCTGATGTCATTGTGCCAATTACCCTATCCACTTCCGGACAATGAATGGGTATGAGGTGCATAATAAATGACTAAACTCGTATAATGTGTATAGGCCTTGTAGGGGGTGGCAGGGGGGGGTGTGTTGAGGGAAGGGAAAGGGTGTGACAGGCTAATGTCACGCACCACTGGAAGAGGAATGTGGGACAGTAATTAAGAGGATACACAGAAGCAAGGAACAGTAGGAGAGGGACATAGACAAGGACTGAAACTATTCCAGCGTGTAACTGGAAATAAAAATAATTCCATGGTCTGACATTACTGAGGTTTGGGAACAGAGTCGCGACCCATGCAGTAAGCCCAGAGAGAACTAAATAAAGACCTTGAACACGTTTGGCGCTGACTTGTACTTGTGCACTAGTTCTTCCTGAACCCCGGTCTGTGCCGCCGACGTAGTCCACGCCCATATCACCGCCACCCCCCCCCCCCACGGGATGGGTCCTGGGGGGTGGGATGCACGGCCGGCCACTGGATGGGTCCTGGGGTGGGGGGGGGATGCACGGCCGGCCACTGGATGGGTCCTGGGGTGGGGGGGGGGAATGCACGGCCGGCCACTGGATGGGTCCTGGGGTGGGGGGGGATGCACGGCCGGCCACTGGATGGGTCCTGGGGTGAGGGGGGGATGCACGGCCGGCCACTGGATGGGTCCTGGGGTGAGGGGGGATGCACGGCCGCCCACGGGATGGGTCCTGGGGTGGGGAGGATGCACGGCCGCCCACGGGATGGGTCCTGGGGTGGGGAGGATGCACGGCCGCCCACGGGATGGGTCCTGGGGTGGGGAGGATGCACGGCCGCCCACGGGATGGGTCCTGGGGTGGGGAGGATGCACGGCCGCCCACGGGATGGGTCCTGGGGTGGGGAGGATGCACGGCCGCCCACGGGATGGGTCCTGGGGTGGGGAGGATGCACGGCCGCCCACGGGATGGGTCCTGGGGTGGGGAGGATGCACGGCCGCCCACGGGATGGGTCCTGGGGTGGGGAGGATGCACGGCCGCCCACGGGATGGGTCCTGGGGTGGGGAGGATGCACGGCCGCCCACGGGATGGGTCCTGGGGTGGGGAGGATGCACGGCCGCCCACGGGATGGGTCCTGGGGTGGGGAGGATGCACGGCCGCCCACGGGATGGGTCCTGGGGTGGGGAAATGCACGGCCGCCCACGGGATGGGTCCTGGGGTGGGGGGGAAATGCACGGCCGCCCACGGGATGGGTCCTGGGGTGGGGGGGAGATGCACGGCCGCCCACGGGATGGGTCCTGGGGTGGGGGGAGATGCACGGCCGCCCACGGGATGGGTCCTGGGGGGGGAGAATGCACGGCCGCCCGCCCGCTGGATGGGTCCTGGGGGGGAGAATGCACGGCCGCCCGCCCACTGGATGGGTCCTGGGGGGGATGCACGGCCGCCCACTGGATGGGTCCTGGGGGGGATGCACGGCCGCCCACTGGATGGGTCCTGGGGGGGATGCACGGCCGCCCACTGGATGGGTCCTGGGGGGGGGGATGCACGGCCCCCCACGGGATGGGTACGGGGTGTGCACGGCCCCCCTCCACGGGATGGGTACGGGGTGTGCACGGCCCCCCCCCTCCACGGGATGGGTACGGTGGTGTGTGCACGGCCCCCCCCTCCACGGGATGGGTACGGTGGTGTGTGCACGGCCCCCCCCTCCAAGGGATGGGTACGGTGGTGTGTGCACGGCCCCCCTCCACGGGATGGGTCCGGGGGTGTGCACGGCCCCCACGGGATGGGTCCGGGGGTGTGCACGGCCCCCCGGGGGTGTGCACGGCCCCCACGGGATGGGTCCGGGGGTGTGCACGGCCCCCATGGGTCCGGGGGTGTGCACGGCCCCCACGGGGGTCCGGGGGTGTGCACGGCCCCCACGGGATGGGTCCGGGGGTGTGCACGGCCCCCACGGGATGGGTCCGGGGGTGTGCACGGCCCCCACGGGATGGGTCCGGGGGTGTGCACGGCCCCCACGGGATGGGTCCGGGGGTGTGCACGGCCCCCACGGGATGGGTTCGGGGGTGTGCACGGCCCCCACGGGATGGGTCCGGGGGTGTGCACGGCCCCCACGGGATGGGTCCGGGGGTGTGCACGGCCCCCACGGGATGGGTCCGGGGGTGTGCACGGCCCCCACGGGATGGGTCCGGGGGTGTGCACGGCCCCCACGGGATGGGTCCGGGGGTGTGCACGGCCCCCACGGGATGGGTCCGGGGGTGTGCACGGCCCCCACGGGATGGGTCCGGGGGTGTGCACGGCCCCCACGGGATGGGTCCGGGGGTGTGCACGGCCCCCACGGGATGGGTCCGGGGGTGTGCACGGCCCCCACGGGATGGGTCCGGGGGTGTGCACGGCCCCCACGGGATGGGTCCGGGGGTGTGCACGGCCCCCACGGGATGGGTCTGGGGGTGTGCACGGCCCCCACGGGATGGGTCTGGGGGTGTGCACGGCCCCCACGGGATGGGTCCGGGGGTGTGCACGGCCCCCACGGGATGGGTCCGGGGGTGTGCACGGCCCCCACGGGATGGGTCCGGGGGTGTGCACGGCCCCCACGGGATGGGTCCGGGGGTGTGCACGGCCCCCACGGGATGGGTCCGGGGGTGTGCACGGCCCCCACGGGATGGGTCCGGGGGTGTGCACGGCCCCCACGGGATGGGTCCGGGGGTGTGCACGGCCCCCACGGGATGGGTCCGGGGGTGTGCACGGCCCCCACGGGATGGGTCCGGGGGTGTGCACGGCCCCCACGGGATGGGTCTGGGGGTGTGCACGGCCCCCACGGGATGGGTCCGGGGGTGTGCACGGCCCCCACGGGATGGGTCCGGGGGTGTGCACGGCCCCCACGGGATGGGTCCGGGGGTGTGCACGGCCCCTACGGGATGGGTCCGGGGGTGTGCACGGCCCCCACGGGATGGGTCCGGGGGTGTGCACGGCCCCCACGGGATGGGTCCGGGGGTGTGCACGGCCCCCACGGGATGGGTCCGGGGGTGTGCACGGCCCCCACGGGATGGGTCCGGGGGTGTGCACGGCCCCCACGGGATGGGTCCGGGGGTGTGCACGGCCCCCACGGGATGGGTCCGGGGGTGTGCACGGCCCCCACGGGATGGGTCCGGGGGTGTGCACGGCCCCCACGGGATGGGTCCGGGGGTGTGCACGGCCCCCACGGGATGGGTCCGGGGGTGTGCACGGCCCCCACGGGATGGGTCCGGGGGTGTGCACGGCCCCCACGGGATGGGTCCGGGGGTGTGCACGGCCCCCACGGGATGGGTCCGGGGGTGTGCACGGCCCCCACGGGATGGGTCCGGGGGTGTGCACGGCCCCCACGGGATGGGTCCGGGGGTGTGCACGGCCCCCACGGGATGGGTCCGGGGGTGTGCACGGCCCCCACGGGATGGGTCCGGGGGTGTGCACGGCCCCCACGGGATGGGTCCGGGGGTGTGCACGGCCCCCACGGGATGGGTCCGGGGGTGTGCACGGCCCCCACGGGATGGGTCCGGGGGTGTGCACGGCCCCCACGGGATGGGTCCGGGGGTGTGCACGGCCCCCACGGGATGGGGGTCCACGGGGGGTCCGGGGGTGTGCACGGCCCCCACGGGATGGGTCCGGGGGTGTGCACGGCCCCCACGGGATGGGTCCGGGGGTGTGCACGGCCCCCACGGGATGGGTCCGGGGGTGTGCACGGCCCCCACGGGATGGGTCCGGGGGTGTGCACGGCCCCCACGGGATGGGTCCGGGGGTGTGCACGGCCCCCACGGGATGGGTCCGGGGGTGTGCACGGCCCCCACGGGAGGGGTCCGGGGGTGTGCACGGCCCCCACGGGATGGGTCCGGGGGTGTGCACGGCCCCCACGGGATGGGTCCGGGGGGTGTGCACGGCCCCCACGGGATGGGTCCGGGGGGTGTGCACGGCCCCCACGGGATGGGTCCGGGGGGTGTGCACGGCCCCCACGGGATGGGTCCGGGGGTGTGCACGGCCCCCACGGGATGGGTCCGGGGGTGTGCACGGCCCCTCTCCATGGAATGGGTACGGGGGTGTGCACGGACCCCCCCCCCACGGGATGGGTCCGGGGGTGTGCACGGACCCCCCCCCCCCCACGGGATGGGTCCGGGGGTGTGCACGGTCCCCCCCCCGCCACGGGATGGGTCCGGGGGGTTTGCACGGTCCCCCCCCCCCCCACGGGATGGGTCCGGGGGTGTGCACGGTCCCCCCCCCCCACGGGATGGGTCCGGGGGTTTGCACGGTCCCCCCCCCCCCCCCACGGGATGGGTCCGGGGGTGTGCACGGTCCCCCCCCCCCACGGGATGGGTCCGGGGGTGTGCACGGTCCCCCCCCCCCACTCCACCCTCACGGGATGGGTCCAGTGTAACTTATCAGAAAATGGAAGAAGAAAAGAAATGAAGAATTGAGAATAGGCATGGGGTGAGGGAGGTAGTGAGGTGGAATGGAGGTGTGAGGAGTATGGTCAGGGGGAAAAGGAAAGTTTAGAATGGGAGGGAGAGAATGAGACTTAGGAAAGTGGAAGAGTAGAAAGTAAGTTCTAGAATAGTAGAAAGATAAAAGGTAAAAATAGGAAATAGAAGGTTGTTAGTTGCTGCCACCATTCATTCTAGCTAACTACAAGACAAGGAATGAAGCTTGTCTGTACAAGTTATCTGGTGTTATACCCGCTGTACGAATATAACTC